GGCTTGTTGTACTGATCATTCGGCACTCCTGTTTTCTGATTTTCTATTTTAAATGCATGGGGTGATCATCGTTGTTATTTTAGTACCATCATAGCTACAAGATTGATCAGGCTAATGAAATTGTTTTGTTTGGCACTTTGGCAGATATCTTGCTGAATTACTTGCCGAGAGGCTGAAATTAGCCCCATTCATGCAAGTTCTTCCTTTTTGTAACAGACTTCTGAACCAAGGTTGGCGTCCTTTGCCTTTTGGTTTCTGTGTATGTGCTATTGTTACTCTTACATGCACTTCTTAATAGTTTTGCATACAAGCTGCTATAAGAGTATGATTTAGCCAGTTGCTATTTTTAGCTATCCTTGCTGTCGACATAATCTGCTAATCTTCTTGTAAAATCCTGTCCATCCTTTTTGTTAGTTTGTGTTGTGGACTCGTTTGTGCTAACTTTGCTACTGATTTAATTCACACCAAGGATGTACAACATTTACTTGTCCTACACATTATGGTTTTTGGCCAACCGTGAATTAATTACAAATCCCTAATGGATACCATTTATGCAAATGTATGAATATTTCGCCAGCGTTTTAAATTACAGGAGCTTATACAAAAGATATTGATAATTGTAAAATTCTTCAATCATATAGTTTAGTTAGAACACTTCAATAGTTACCTATTTTGTGAAACAGACCGTTGTTACTTTAGAATCTTTATTATGTAAGCCATTATGCTGTTGACTGCTGAGTGTGGTGATTTCTGTATTCTAGCTTCTTGCAGTAGTTTCAGTTCCTGCTTTAGACATATCTGAAAATCTTGCCTGGGTGGTCTCCCTTTCTCTCTGATCTTGAAATAGACATTACTAGCATCTTCTATTATATGGTAGTGTTTCAGATAAGATATATTTGATTTCATCCCATAATCGTTAACGGTTTGTTTTCATCAATGCAGAAATTTTGCGAGCATCTTCTTTGCCACTTAACCCAAATTTTGTTGAACCTGAGAGAATCGATCATGGCAGCCCAAGCCCATTAAGGTTAGCTGGTCAACCAATGGATCTAGAGGGATGGTCAGGAATGCAAACAGAGGTTGTCCGAATTCATACTTGTTTTGCCTATTCATTTTACATGCCTGAGCTGCCTCATTTTACATGCTTATTAAATTGAAGTGCCATTTTTTCTCAGTATCGTGGTGTACTCCAATCGCCATCCACGAACTGGAATGGGACTCCTGGAGCTGTTGGGAGCCCTACTGTGAAAAAGGTTGTTAGGATGGATGTTCCTGTTGACAAGTATCCCAACGTATGTGCAACTTACTTTTAGCTATTTGCAATCTTCATATCTTACATTATTATGTGCTACTACAAATCCAAATTATTCATAATATCTTGCTATTATTAGTACAACTTTGTTGGTCGTTTGTTGGGGCCACGAGGGAACTCCTTGAAAAGAGTTGAAGCTACAACCCAATGTAGAGTTTATATTCGTGGACGGGGTTCAGTGAAAGACTCTGTTAAGGTAAATAAACACAGATTAGAACTGCCATGTTGTAGTTGCCTATACTTATTGAAAGGCTTGGAACCTTTTAGGAGCACTTGTATTTCACCATAGTACTTAACATTTGCTCTTCAAAATGCCCACCAGAATCTGACTTGTATAATCTAAATCGTCTGTATTCCATTACTAGTAAACTAAGGATGGTTTTGATTGAATTGTAGTATTCACAATGAGGCATCAATTATGTTTTAAAGTAAAACGACAGAAAACTGTTAAAACAGATAATAGGCACTATTTGATGTATAAAGTTTCGATGCAATCCATGACTTGTCAAGATGTATAATTTTGAACTTTGCAGTATGTTAGCCAGGAAACAGAGTGGAAGAACCAAACCTTCTAGCATATTTCTATTATGATTCCTGAGTTTTATGCACTAGTAGTATAATGTTTTGTTTATTAGATACATTCCATGTATATTCTTGTGTTATACACTGTATAGTGGATACTGGCCATAATTGCACTATCGTTTTAAATTGTTAATTTGAAAGTTTCAAAATATTGATATTCCTAGGACATCTTTGGAATACTCTGTTTAGTTGCGATCATCACAGAAATCAATTCATATTTACAGTGATGAAGCCTCCTAACTGAATTTTATCCTGATTTCAGTTTGTCAGGTGTAACTTTTGTGTCTGACTTACAGCCCTGTGCTTAGATCTCTTACCAAAATAATAATTATGGGACAGTTGTTTGTTTGTATACAAATAGTTATTGTAGTTACTACTATAAATCATTTTCTGTGAGCATTATTGTTGTGTTTAACAATATTTTAAAGTCCTTACCATAAAATTATAACGGAGAGGTTCTAAAAAATAAAACCTTTTCTTTTCTAAAATAGGAAGACAAACTCAGAGACAAGCCTGGCTATGAGCACTTAAATGATCCATTGCATGTTCTTGTGGAAGCTGAGTTCCCGGCAGATATCGTTGATGCCCGAGTAAACAAAGCAGTGGCCATATTGGAGGATCTTCTGAAACCAGTGGTCTGTTATTTTACTTCTTGTCTGTTCCTACTCGCTATGAATATTTGTTTTGCTTCTAACCTGGAATTACATGTTTCCCTGACTGCTGTCCTCATCAGGATGAGTCCATGGACTATTACAAGAAACAACAGCTAAGAGAATTGGCTATACTTAATGGCACTCTAAGGGAGGAAAGCCCAAGCCCCCATCTTAGTCCCAATGTGTCCCCCTTCAATTCCACGGGGATGAAGCGTGCAAAGACAGGGCGGTGATCTTATTTCTGAAAATGCAGTGCTAGAGGTGATCAATGGTATGAATATGTTCCATCGCTGGAGATTATTGCTGGTACATAGAAGGAATCAACAGGGCTGGATCCGGACGTGTCATGATGGGCGGCTATGCGCTTTAGTGGACATTGTTGGAATGGACAGTCGATGTGAAGATATTAGTCGCTTCAAGGGCTTGTTGTTTGGTCCTATTATTCTCTGAGTATCTGACTTAACACTATTGGTTTTGGTGGTTCTAGGTTTTGGGATTGTAGTGTTAAAAATAATAATCAGTTTTTTTTAATGTACTAGCAATAGTTCTGATTTGTTGAAAATGTTTGATGTTCTTGTGGACGACTGTGATCTCAGTAACATTGTTGCACTGGTCTATTCTTTCATATTCTTGTCCTTTGTCTCCTTACCAAATATTTATTCCAATAATTCAGTTGGATACTTGGATGAACAATCTTTCCTTTGTTGCTGCTAGTTGTACTAGCCGACAGAATTTGATTAAGCCTCATTTAGAACACATGAATCTCTTTTCCGCTTTGTATTTCCATGAATTCTGCTGATCATTCTTTTTTTGCAAGATGTTGCTCTAGTTCATTTTTCGCCAAATTGTCGACCTGATCTCGCCCTTCAGTAATGATGCAAAATTTGGCAACAACCAATATACAGTAGGGTCTAGTCCCATTTATGTCCAGGTATGTTAGTAACCAAATTGTAAGTCGTTTACTCTTTTTGGCTTTTCGATATACGCATATTTTCTATACACCTAGAATCCTAGACATACATTATGTCTAAATAAATAATAAAACTATGTATTTAGAAATATCAAAATGACTTAAAATTTGGAACAGAGAGAATATTTATTTAGACAACTTATGCTAAGCTGACAACATGTTTACGCTGTCAGATTAGACCAAAGGACCAAACCAAAGTGCGCGCATCTACCAGAGATTACTTCCTTGCCTTGCAATAAACCTGTCCCTTTGCGTGGTAATCATGGTCGTTCTTGCCGTTATGCTGCAAGGTCGCCCATCATTTCATATTACATGACTTTTTTGGCATGTCCCATGAACTCCCAAAGAGGCTTGGGGGGCGCGATCGTGGCGAGGTAATCATGGGTGCCATCGCGTTACGACCATGTCTGGTCAGATCTGGAAGGAACGATGCCACCAATCATTTTGCCTGTACATTTTTGTAGTGCTTCAGCTTTGCCAGGCACGATCCATGATATGATATGCATCCGTCGGTGTTCTTAAGAGCCAGCCATCTACCGCCCTGTTTAGACGTTTTCAGTTTGTGAGAATTGAGTAAGAATCACGCGTGAACTGCATTGTTTCCTGTGAAATTTTTGAAACGGTTGTTTCCTGTGAAATTCTTATGTTCGGTGTGTGGGCTATGAACTTTGAAATACCTAGATCGATTGTCTCAATGTCTAGATTTTCGATTTGGTTGTACTCGAAATCTGAAGTACAAATATATTTCAACTGCATTGTTCAGGCCACAGCACTTTCTACAATTCTATCCTACTTCAGTCGACATAGCAGTAGCAGTGTAGCACTCAGCACCAGCAGCAAGACAGTACCCTCTCCCATGGAGCTCCCATTCTTAATCATCAAAGCTACATGACTTGTCTCTTAAGGACTGCTGAATGGAGTTTAAATTATTTATCATGGAGAATCTTTTCGGCACAAAAGTGAGAGAGATTTGACAGAAAACTTAATAAGCTCCCACTTCACTTGACCCAGAATTATGTTGAATAATAATCATTGAGTCTTGTTAAACAAGAATACATAAAGATTAAGCCATTAAGGTTACACTTTAGTACTTTATACAATAGCTGGGAGTCTGGGACTGGAGTGAGTGGCATACTGGAGCAAGCTACGGAGTGTAGAGTCTGCAACCAATTAAGGCAACAGTTACACGATTACAAAATGGCCATGGGCATGCTATAACAACTCAAGGATCTGAAACAGCGATCCAGCATATTGTTCAGAATGTAATGGTCAACTCTGTGATCGCATTCAATCATATCCTAGCACACGCTGGGCAAACCTAGCATTTGCTACAAGTAAAATATGGACAACATTTCACACGAGGTACAGACTCCTACAAAGAATCAACTCAAATTACACACAAGCAATAGTATGTTTCAATGAGGTTTATGCTACCGCAATGTCCTGAGCATATAAACATCAGCAGATCCTGGTGCCAATTGGATTAAGCTCGCCTCCACTTATTGATCTCCTTTGATGTTGCTTTGATTAGTTTCTTTGCGTTCTCGATCAGTTCATCAACCAGGATATCGATCTGGTCTCTGAAAAATGTCACAAATCTATTAGATATTTTTGCTTGTAACAGTGCAAAGATATCTGGGAACCCTAGTCGCCATGGCACTAATTAACCCGACTAGTCACAACTAATCGCAGTGCATAACCGATCACCATGCACCAATAAGCCCGACTAATCGTGATTAACCGGACGACTTGATAACCTTGCTGGGACCAAATCAAAACGTTGTGGAAGAAAAATGTACTTCAGTTGGACAAGAGACCATTGACCAACAGTACTAATGTCATATTTTTGGGCTTAAACCCTACATCATCTTTCGATAAAAAAAAAAAGTCGTTTTGAGTAACTTATTAGTCTTACCAAGTTTGCAAGGGTACATTGCATTCACATAAATTATATGCAGGGTTTCTAGACATTACTATTTTGAATCTACAATCTAAATAGTTAGCTTTTTTAAGGTCTGAATAATTCTAAAATAGGCATAACGAAAATGTACCCAAGGTATGGAAACAGTTAATTAATTTCCTATATGCTGGTGATGCCTTATGTCATCAGAGTAATTGGAGAAATTACACAATAAAATATTTACTCAGCTCAAAGAACCTGATTTTCACAGATACATCAGGTATTTTGCATGAAGTTATATCTTACTCAGATGGAATGCCCTTAGATCTCTGATTTGATCTCCCAATGTTTGAATATCTCCCATTCTCATCATAAGCGACTCCTTTTCCGAAACCATAACCAAAAATCCCTATACCACAGCCCGCACCAACTCCAAAACCCAAGGTTAATCCAGGGAATCCAGAACCAACTCCTGCACCTGTTCAGTCACATTGGTAATACGAGAAATAGGAGTTAACTGAAAGTTCAGAGTCTTTTACATCATCATTGGACGCATCAAGCAATGAAATACATATTGTAAATAATTCACCATCAATTAAGAAAGGGCAACACCATACAACAAACATCCTGAATCTAAACATAAAGTAAGGTAAATCCACTGACTGCGCTGCAGAAGTTACTTTACCAATAATCCATTTACGACAATTAGGTGCAGAATATCTCAGATTTAATTATTTTTCCTTTTATTATAAACACCGAGTAACAGTCATTGGAAGTACCATTTATTTTGGCATTGGTGCCATTTGCATTTCATTAACGTATCACCGAGTAACAGTCATATGAAGTTCAGAAAATGATAAGCTATCCCCAATTCCAGCCCTCTCCAATCAGGATTGGTCGTCACTCATCAATCGATCGGCCTTTTTTCCACAACGAACAATCGATCGGCCTAAACCGCAAGGAGTTGAGTGCCACGAGTCCCAGATGGAGATACTCCGCATCACAAACAGCTACATGTCGACTGATTCTGGACGGTTCCATAGCAGCAAGAATGAGTGCAGGGTTCATGGGAGGAGTAACTACCGCCGATGAGTCCGACGCCAACACCGAAGCCGCAGCCGGCGCCGAAGCCGAAGGAGGGTCCTAGCTTCCCCAGCACCCTCGACCTCGCCGGCGGCAGGCCCCGCGGACCCCTCCGCCCTCCGCCGCCCATGCTCGCGCACTACTCAGAGATGCTTTCTGGACGCACGCACGCTTCGTCACTGGGCTGAACCAGCGCGGGCAGAGATCTGAACGCTTGATCCTGCGCGGAGATTCTCGCTGATATTTTTTTTTTCATGAGAAGAAAGAAAAGGAGAAATCGTTCTCGCACGGCCTGGCCCAGAGACTATTGATGCTGGGTTTTTGTTGGGCTCAAATAGCCCAGCAAGGCTTGAGATGGGCCAAAATGGCTTCGAGTTGTCTGGCAAGAGTGCACTCTTTCCTCTTTGGAACCGCACTCTTTTGGCTTCTTCTCTTCTATTTCTTCTTTTTCTCATGACTATTCCGTTTAGAAAACATTTCTCAATTATTAGTTATTATGTATTGAATTAAATGCCATAAAATTAGAGTAAAATAAAAAAAATCACAGACGCGCTATCATTTTGTGTCTCGTTGCCTTGCTCACATGTCACAATACAACGGATAAACTTTGGAAAAATGACAAGATTTGGAGATCAGGCAAAAATTTCTGAATTACTCCGACGATATGCTCTCTGGGAATCCTTCTCCAACATTTGGATAGGACAGTTGTGCCACCCGTTCTGTCCCTATATGGTCGCACATGTGTGGTCTCATGCACTAATGCACATTGCACAGTTTGATGCGCTTGTTGGAAATCTTTCAAAAAAAAAAGTTGCGATTGGAATTCTTGTCCGTTGCATCTGAATTCTCTTGAACTTCTGTGTGAAGTACCGTGCTGTTCTACTTTACCAGCAACAACCAAATTTTCATAGCCTGTAACCTCCATCTCTTTATTAAAATTTAAAAAAAAACTTAACCAGCTACACTACAATCACGTTCACAAGAAAAGGCTCTCTCTCTCTCTCTCTCATGGGCTGCTTATCCTGAGATATCCGACACTTGAGAGCAGGGAATTGTACACTCGCACAGCATTGGTCAGCGGCATGGGTCCCATCTCATCCTCTGCCAGGTCAGCATCATCCCTAGCCGACCATGCTGGTGTTGTTGGGGCCTTGGGGGAGAGGGGAGGGGGCAGCCGGTAGCTCAACTAACATCGCCTGGCTCTTAAATGGACGCCAAATAATCGAGTAGAAAAAAACAAAAAAAAGGATGCCAAGAATGTGGTTCATTTTCACGGAGTTTCCATGATTATGACTTGTAATGAATATTGGGCGGTGCCTGAACACTAGGCCATTGAATTTAGTTTTGTCAATACTTGAATGCATTGTAGTATGTGACTATGTGAGGCATTGACAACAACACGTATTGAGAATTCATCTCACCAGGCAGGGTGTTTGTCATTTTTCCTCCTTTTTTTCTCAAGTTGCACCGCGGCTGTGTGGTGACATTGTTGCGTCACTATAATTCCTCGGAAAAGGTACGTGCTCTTTTGTTACTTGTGATCCTTTTGGATGGGTAACTAGGGAAAATATTTCCATTTCACATCCTACTGTAGTATTTGACAAAATATTTCTATTTCACATCCTACTGTATTACTCCGTATTTGACAGTGATATATGATTGGCTAGGGCCACATGTGCTCCCGATGATTTTATTTTTGGTAAAGTCTGATTTGTCTCCCTAAATTTATTGCTAAATTTGTAGAACAAAACACTCAAACTCGAATATGGGATAATTTACCCCCTTAACTTTTGAAGCTGGAAAAGATACCCCTAAAATAGTTCATAGTTTCGATTGTGATTTTGGCTGACGTGGCATGTGGACATGTCTTCATTTTTTAGTCATGCTATTTTTTATTGAATATTTAGATTCCTAAATGATTTTAAATAGAAAAAATTTCAACTAGAAAGTTTTAAATCTCTTCGAGTACTACATATGTAATAGCATACAAGGTAATTTGAGAAAAATAAAAAATGAATCTTGTAATAAAAAACTTAAAACAACTATTTGGGCCCCTAAATGATCCCAATTTAAAAAGTTTTCATTATGCCTCTAGATGATCTTAAAAAAAGTTTTCAACTACAGAATTTTAGATTATACTGAGATCTATAACTTTGATGTAGACCACGTCAATTTCTAATAAGGTTTGAAAATAAATAAATATGAGAAATTAAAAATAAATATTTGGACCTCTATATGATTTCAGATAAAAATATTGTCAACTACAAGTTATAAATCCCATTTAGAGCTACATGTTTGTTATAAATCATGTCAACATACAAGGTTGTTTGAAAATTTCAAAAAGAATGAATTTCAAAATCTAAGAACTTAGAACAAAATTTTGGGCATGTATGGTTCCACACAAAAATGTTGTCAAAAACAAAATTGCAGATTGCATTGAGATCTAATATTTTGGTATAGAACAAGTCAACATCTAGCCCGTTTAAAAAATTCAAAAATTAAGTTTAAAAGTCTGATAACTTAAAACAAATATTTGAGCCTCTAAAAGATCTCGAATAAAAAGGTTGTCGAGTATAAAGTTGTATATCGCATCTAACTCTACAGTTTATATAAAGTTGAGATTCATCCGACTTCATATAAAAAAGTTATGATTTTTTAATATAAGAAAGAGGGAGACACACCTAACGTGTGGTCCCCATTGTGTCGCTAGCAAACCCAGTTTGAAATAGTTAAGGGGTTATTTTATCCTATTTTAAAAGTTAGGGTGCATATGTTGTATTAGAGTTCAAGACATGGTTTTTGAGTCGTCCCCTAGGCGTTAAGGCGTACCCAGGCATCGCAGGAGGCCACAGTGTTTTAGTTACACCATATAGCCTAGAAAGACGTCTAGGCATCCATGTGTACTCCCAACGTCACAAGACACCACAGCGCCTCAAAATCCATGGTTCGAGGGGATTTTTCAAATTCAACGATTAGTTCAGGTGATAGACTACCTTGGAGGCAAGTGAAGTTTGTGAGCCATTTGAGTGTATAAGAATGAAAAACAGAGACAAATCTCACCCTTCCACTAAATTGTGCAGCAAATTGTGCTCACAATTATACATTTAAGAAACTAGGAGGCTTGTCTTGTGTTATTTTTTCAAATGAGTGTTGAAGTTTTGAAAAGTATCTTCGTTGTTCATTATCGCCCAAGCATCCAAACATGTACATGAAATCATTCATCTATCATACGTAGATACTTAGATATTCAACTTGTGCACCTCTCTACCCTTCTTCCTAACATCTACAACTTGATTATTGGAGCATCTAAAACTCAAACACTAATGTTCACAATTTCACCATTGTAGAATTATCCAGCCAATGCTTTGAACATGTGCAATATCACCCTCACGGGACCATCTAGTGCGTTTAATCTCCCTAGAAATTATTCGTTTATACCCAATTATGGTCCTGGTTTTGGTGACTTATGTTATATTGCAATTACTTGATGAACATGATAGTCGCATTTATTGTGCTCATTCAATCACAAAAATCAGAAATATGTCCAACTAGAGCCATATTGGCATCATAGAGTACGAAGAAACAACCAATAAATTGATTGTAATCAGAGAGACTAGAACTAGTCACAGAGCATAGTTCACTCAAACATAATACGTATTAAATATTTAGTGGGGTCAACCAATTCCATCATCAAGTGATTAGCCATTAGACATCAACTAATTGTGATTCTTCTATGACTAAAAATTTGATCAATGTGCTTCATGCACAAGAAAAGTGTCGCAAGAGTTTGAATTGTACTACATAGTATTTATTCTTAATGGATGCTTCTTCTCAAAGTGGTACCTAGAAATTTTCTAAAAAGAAAAAGAAACAGATTATCCATCATCTCCAAGAAACAAAACAAGCTGAACATAAAATTATTAAAATGGAGTGCTACTATATTAATCCTAGGGGTTTAGATCCAACATAAACATGTGACAATGTTCACTTGAACTGGATTTCCATATTAATAATGAGCCCACTTGATCCATGCTTGAATAGTAGTACTCGTTGATGTCAAGAATTAGTTTTTTTAGAACATGTTTGGCTATAGCATGTGTGCCACATCTATATTTAGTACTCCCTCCATCCCAAATTGTAAGACGTTTGACTTTTTGGGCCTCAAGTTTGACCACTCGTCTTATTCAAAAAATTTGTGCAAATATAGTCAAATTTAAGTCATTCTTGAAGAATTTTTATTAATAAACCAAACCACGACGAAAGAAGTGATATTTTACACAAATTTTTGAATAAGACGAGTGGTCAAACTTGGTGCCAAAAAAGTCAAACATCTTACAATTTGGGATGGATTGAGTAACTAATAATAAACTGGAACTTAACTTGTTTTGATTCCAAAATTTAGAGATGCTCTAAAGAATTGTAAGCAAAAAATAGTCATCTCAACATAGGCTTGGTTCGCTCACTTTTTTTTTCTCGAACACGCATGAGAGCTGCGTATCTATGTATTAAGAAGAAAAAAAGGGCAAGAGCCCTTACAACACCCACCCACACTCATAGTCTCTTAGAAAAACACACGCGCCTTTTACTAAGACAAAAAACGACCTCACCTCCACAAAAAGAACCCTACTGGCTATCTACAGGCTCGAGAGAAGAGCTTCCCTGAGCCTTTGCAAGACTCCAGTAACGTTATTCCTCACTAGCGAGCAGCAATGCTCCAGCCAAGTTAGGAGGAATACCATAAAAAATGCATCGGTTGCGATGGTTCCAAATTGTCCATGCCCCAAGGATGATAAGTGAGTTGAGTTTTTTTTTGTGCGATCCATCCATTCTTGACTCTGCCTTGGCCCACCATTCATCAAAGGAGGGTTCATCTTGTTGTGGTGAAAGGGCCTGTAAACCCACTTTCCGCAGCAAAACAAACCAAAATTCTCGTGCAAACACACATGATACTAACAGATGATTGATAGTTTCTTCCTCTTGATCGCAATGGGGGCAGCGAGTAGGATGTGGGAGACCTCGGCGTGCAAGCCTGTCTGTTGTCCAGCATTTGTTATGTGCTGCCAACCACATAAAGAAGCGGCATTTTCCAGGAGCCCAAGTTTTCCAAATACGCTCCCAAGGTCTGAGTGT